CACAGTGACATCCACAAGCAGAACACTAGTATGGCCAGCAGTAGATTAACCCAATACACGAGAGTATTTGGACTTGATATGAGGGGGGAGCACTCAGCGTTAAATAATGCCATAAATCCCCCTCAAGATGGTTCGAGATTAGCCGCCATTTTAACGTGTGTTGACCAATAGCTCAAATAGATCGGTAGTCCATGCCCAAGACACCAGGGGGCGCGAGGTTATTATTTATGACGGTTTGGACTGGATATTCAAATTGAATGCATTTGTCACATTAATACATCGCTTTCCTTCTGAAGACCAAGTGCCGAGGTGTTTGATTAGTTGAGTCATATTTAACTAAAGGAGGTAAATCAACCAACACGATTTCATAAGGATGCATGTATGTGTGGACAATTGATCAGTTGGGTGATGCGGCCTGGTGCTAAAGTTGGAGTCATGCTGAATCCGAAATAAACGATGCAATGATACGTATGGAATCCCAGAAGGAACATTGTCGCGTTGTCGCGCTCTGGTTAATTTTGACACTTTTTGCTTGTTTTGTTACGGCGGCGACCTTCTATGATTCCATAGATACGAGACATACGTTGAAATATATATATAAAGTACATTCATATGTGATCTTTATGTGCGTGGTGGCGTTATGAATGTACTTACAAAGTCTGTTTCTTTTCTAACCTGGCGTAGCGAAGGCCCGGGTTCGAGTCCCCACATGGGTACAATGTGTGAAGCCCTTATGGTGCCCCTCCCCGACCCCCACCCCCGATATATTGCTGAAATATTGCTAAAAGCGGCCTAAAACCATACTCACCCAATCTCTTTAACCCTACGACCGCCTCTGTGGGGTATTCATGTTAAACTGAGGCATGATATCTAAGTGGGCAAGTACTATAAAACTGGCATTAGTCCGGACTAGTACAAGCAACCACACAAACACACGTGCATCCACGTCGCTATATAATAGCAAGAATTCCAAACGCGACGTCAAACCCCACTTCACTTCACTTCACCACACCTCACCTCACCTCACCTCGACTTTCCTCACCTCACCTCACCTCACCTCACCTCACCTCACCTATCGTATTGTGATCATCATGCTGTTTGGGGCATGGGGCACGACGGGCCTATTCTGTCCCGCTATCCCCGCCGAGGAGTGAGTGAGTGAGTTGGGTTTAACGGTATTCCAGTTATATCGCGGCGTGTCAGCTTAATGTGGGAGGAAAGCCCGAAGTGATGCAGGTCTCAGACGTTTACCACTTTGGTGAAACACGGGTATGTGCTGACAAACCTAGAAACATAATCGGGGCGAACCGGGATTCGAACCTACAATCATAGGTTTCTGGCGTGACTTATAATTTCATTGGTGTCACGTTCGATGTTCCAACAGCGGCTTCAAAAGAGAGGGCCTTGAACAGACAAAACCATTGGTTGAGCGGGAGACATTATATAAGACTTCTGTTTGAACACAATTTCGGCATCGACCCATCTTAATGCAGCGCCGTTAGCTCAAAGAGGTTGTGTTCCGCTCAAGGATACCCACGGAGCTGAAACAAGCCTTGCATCAACAAAACTTTCGCGGAAATATTTCCATAACTCCATTGGTTTCATATCCCATTTGTCGTTTCAAAAACAAATGAATGTGTCAGACAAACTATTTTATGCCCGTTAAAAAATAACTAATTGACTACAACTGGAACATTTCGGTTTTATTCTGCCTAAGGGGGGATATTAGGGGGAGGGCTAGGATTTTGTATATATATTTTTAAATATTGATTAGATATTTTTCAGCTACAGCCACAAAACCTGACATTTGCTTTATTTATTTTTTTATTTAAAACTATGAACCTGATTATTTTATTTAAAAGAAAAAACCTTGCAACAATGTAATTTTTGTGGCATGCAATTTCTAATTTTTCAACCGTCTGAAGCATAATTACTGTTATCAATTCCGAATATACGCGAACGGTGCAGACCAAATGTACCCCTCAAAGTCCTCCCAAAGTCCCCTCGAAGTCCCCTCAATGTCCCCTCAATATCCCGGGTCCGTCTGTGGTTGAAGACAACGCTGGAGTGCTTCTGTCTCACCTGACCCGGTCATGTTGACAAAGGATTGTGACACCTTCTCTATGTAATCCCTGTCTCTTCGAGTGCATCTATCACCATCATCCATTAAATATTGTCAGAATACGGAAGCAACGTGTCATGATCTCCTTGTGAGCATTCCTGGTTGCCAGGACTGGGCTAGGGCACGAAGGAAAGTCACATCGACTTCTCTTTTACTTTCCTTTTTTATTAACATAACATTGAGAGACTGACTAATAGTGTTGCCAGTTTAATTCTGAAACACTCTCGTGACACAGGATTGAAATGACTGATCTTGAGAACCCTGCACCCTTTAACACATCCACCCAACTCGGTAAATCAACGTCGGCTGGCCCAACAATAACAGAACGGCAGCTAGCTCCACCCCTTACTCCTTCGACCGCCTCCGTGGTCTTGTGGTAGAGCGTCCGCCCGGAGAGCGGAAGGTCCAGGGTTCGATCCCGGGCCGCGTCATACAAAAAGACGTTAAAAGATTGTACTTGTTGTTACCCTGTCTGGCGCTCGGCATTAAGGGGCTAAAACAAGGACTGGTCGGCTCGGAGTCAGTATACTGTGTCTGAGTGGGGTATTCATGTTAAACTGCGGCATGGTATCTCAGTGAGCTAGCACTATAAATCGGCATCAGTCCGGACTAGTACAAGCAGCCACACACACACATACACATGCATGCACGTCGCTATATAAGTGCAATAATCTTGGACGCGACGTTAAACCCAATTTCACCTCACCACCTTACTCCTTCACCTTAACGGATGGCCAGACAGCGACAGTAACGATAAAGCCCCGCTCAACAACTGCACTGGCTTACCCAGTGATAATAGAGGGGAAAGACCCACCCCTGCCTTGCCCTTCCCCGCTTCACAAACCTCTGCCCGACCCGGTACCCCTCGATGGACAGAAAGTGACAGTAAGGATAAAGCCCCACCCTGCCCCACGTCACCCACAACCACACTACCCGGAACCCCTCGATGGACAGACAGTGCAGTAAAGGATAAAGCCCCACCCTGCCCCACGTCACCCACACTACCCGGTGCCCCCGGGCGGTTGCCGAGGAGGCTGATCGTACCTGAACCTAGCAGCTACTATCGAACGCTGTGCATACCCTTCTCACAACGCGTTGTTCTTCCGCGTGGTGGTGACAGATTCTTGAACTCAGTGATTTATTTAGCAAGTGTCGTGTATGAGCCTTGAGGCCCCGGGGTATTCAAATTACACAGTCCTCCGAGAAACAACCTTCAGTGGGTATTACAATGACTAAAATGAATATGTTATGTCTGAAATGTAAACTATCCTAATGACAAAATGTCTGTACAATGAGACACGATTGATTATTTGAAATTTGATTTCCTGACAACAGAATTCCAAACTACCATGTTTGTGATGGAATACAGGTGGTGCTTGGGTTTAATGTGGCGTTCAAGTGTGTGTGCGTGCGTGCGTGCGTGCGTGCGTGCGCGCGCGCGTGCGTGTTGTGCGTGTGTGTGCGTGTTGGGTGTGTGTGTTGTGTGTATGTGCGTGCGAGGTAGAATGGGTCTTCAGCAACCCATGCTTGTCGTAAGAGGCGACTAACGGGATCGGGTGGTCAGGCTCGCTGACTGGGTTGATGCATGTCATCGTCTCCCACTTGCGTAGATCGTTGCTCGTGATGTCAATCACTGGAACGTCTGGTCCAGACTCGATTATTTACAGACCGCCGACACATAACTAAAGTATTGCTAAGTGTTGCGTTAAACAAAACAAAATCAAACAAACAAGCATCAAATCGATAACTTGCTTAAAACATTGTACTCATTACGGCATATCTTCGCTCTCACCACAAAATTAAATTTTGTCATGGTAGAATGGAGCTAAACATACCGAATTTTCAAAGTAGAGCTGTGCGTTAGGTTCAAAATTCACTTTAGCTCCTTCAAAGACACAGGTAACACAATCTGTTATCTCCTAGTTCATCCTCTCTATCTGGTGTTAGATTTAATATACCTTATGAGCTCAAGGTATCAAACAAACGCCCCTTGGGTGTGTTCAATAAGAAAATCGGAATCCCTAGTTCCGTGGAAAGAGGCATGCCGGATTTACTACAAACGCCGGCGGGTTGTCAAATAAAGCGTGGTCAGTATATCAAAACAGTGAGTGAGTGAGTGAGTTTGGTTTTACGCCGCTTTTAGCAATATTCCAGCAATATCACGGCGGGGGACACCAGAAATGGGCTTCACACATTGTACCCATGTCGGGATTCGAACCCGGGTCTTCGGCGTGACGAGCGAACGCCTTAACCACTAGGCTACCCGACCGCCCCTTATATCAAAACAACTCACGCCGACTATCAAAACGCACTAAAAGATACACACTGGCGTTAAATCGAGAAAAGCGCCGTAGACGTGTGGGTTTTTTTTTCGGATATTTTGACCCGGGGTTTAATTGTGGCCCGTGCCCATCTTGTTTTTCTTCTACAGAAATTTTAACCTGGCGTTTATTCAAGACAAGGAATCTCCGTGAGCGAATCAGTACGCAGATAGTTACTGTTATGCTACCTACACCCGTAGTGTATAAGCGACCAAGACTCTGCCCTTGGTTATGACCGAAACCGAGGACTGAAACTGTACATTATTTTTCAAACGACAAAGTCCTGGATCAGTTGTCGGGTTCATGTGACACATTATCAGTGTATTTGTTTTAAAATTCTGATATTCATGTGAAAATCAAAAACACGTGTAGTCGTTTACGTGTTGAAATGTGTTCATATTTTAAGTGTAAAAAAATATCAATTAATGGAGCTGAATAATACGCTAACGGATCTTGATAACTTGTGTTTGAATTTAGCATATACATGTAGTTCCCTAAGACGTAGGCTACCTTATATAGATTCGTGTATCTAAAATTGTGATAAATTAACAATTGCAAATGAATACATATGTTTATACACCGTTTAACAATAAGACGCAACAGCTACGAATAAAACACAGTCAAAGGGACATAACTCTAATACAAGTTCGTGTGGCCACGATCCAATTGAATTGAATTAATAGAAGCGTCTGTAAAATATATATAAATTTCGGATAACAAATTGTAGCATGCACATGCGCCACGTTTCACAAGTGAAGTGTAACATTTAGAAGGTTATAACACAGCGACTCATGTACACAACTGGAAAGGAGGGTGGATGTTTAACCATTGCCATTGATCAGTCAGCCGTGTCTGATCTTGAAATGTTTTGATAAATATCTTCAAAAGCTCTTGGTCAATGCAACTGACGTACTGATGCATTTAATATTGCCTGGAATAAAAAGTGATATATATGCAACTAGAATGTACTCTTCGAGACAATCCGCTTACAGTACTTCATTAACGACATTATCTGGCAGATAGGAATATACCGGGACGTCGACAGAGCTGGTGGGCAGTCTTCGCTAAGATGTCGAGTAGGTGGGACATATAATGCGTGAATGTTGGAAAACATGAATCATGTGTAAAGTGGTTAAATGATTCTAATTGCTCCTTGCGAATGTCTTCAAATGTCATTTGATTCGTCTCTCTAAAATACGCACAATCATATGCTAAAAATACTCATAAATACCATATTCAACAGATGGCATTTTGCAAAGCGTCGAAGGAGTCATGGATGACGAAACGCTGGATTACAAGGTCACACAAGGTCGAGGTTGTTTCAGTCATCTTTGACCGCACGTGAAATGTTATAACGCCGTGCAATGATTTTTTACGGGGTAGAACATCATAAAACACTAGCACTGCAGTCTATACGTGCTTCTCAACTGTGCAATAGGTTCAAAGGTCAACGGGTTCAACCTCCCGGTCCTCATCCCAAACATCTTTTTCTGGATGATCCACTAGTTTTGACCCCTGCAGCAGGTAGGCTATGATGAACATCAGCAGAGCGCACGCTTGCAGACAAAGGTCTAATCGTTTCTCACTGCTCCTGAGTGACGGCAGGTCATACAATGCGCATGCGCCAGGATGGTCACGTGACTGGTCCCTGATTTTGCACGTGCTGGCAATCACTGGTTTGTACATGGTTGCAGATGAAAGCCATGCTGAAATTAGGGGAGAAAGGAATGAGCACATTAAATTCATATTCTCATTATTACGACACATTCAACATTCAACCGGCCATCACTCACTGAACGATGACGTAATTATTATTCATAACTTTATCACTTTTATAAGCAGATCACAAATAAATGCACCACAAATTATTTTTAAGTACATGAATAGTAAATAAACTAGAACCTACCGACTAGACAACAGGAAAAGCCAGTGAGAGCAAGAGCCATAGTTCGCCTCGTTGGTGCCACGCACCTGCAATATACAGATGGAAACTAAAGGGTCTAGGAGAGGGTGCCACGCACCTGCAATAAACAGATGGAACTAAAGGGTCTAGGACAGTGCGCCACGCACCTGCAATGTACTGATGGAACTAAAGGGCCTAGGAGAGGGTGCCACGCACCTGCAATGTACAGATGGAAACTAAAGGGTCTTGGAGAGGGTGCCACACACCTGCAATGTACTGATGGAACTAAAGGGTCTAGGACATGGTGCCAAACACCTGCAATGTACTGATGGAACTAAAGGGTCTAGGACATAGTACCACGCACCTGCAATGTACAGATGGAACTAAAGGGTCTAGGACATGGTACCCCGCACCTGCAATGTACAGATGGAACTAAAGGGTCTAGGACATGGTACCACGCACCTGCAATGTACAGATGGAACTAAAGGGTCTAGGAGAGGGTACCACGCACCTGCAATGTACAGATGGAACTAATGGGTCTAGGAGAGGGTGCCAAACACCTCCAATGTACAGATGGAACTAAAGGGTCTAGGAGAGGGTGCCACACACCTCCAATGTACAGATTGAACTAAAGGGTCTAGGAGAGGGTGCCACGCGCCTGCAATGTACAGATCGAACTAAAGGGGCTAGGAGAGGGTGCCGGCACCTGCAAGTTACTGATGGAACTAAAGGGTCTAGGAAAGGGTACCACGCACCTGCAATGTACTGATGGAACTAAAGGGCCTAGGAGAGGGTGCCACGCACCTGCAATGTACTGATGGAACTAAAGGGTCTAGGAGAGGGTGCCACGCACCTGCAATGAACTGATGGAACTAAAGGGTCTAGGAGAGGGTGCCACGCACCTGCAATGTACTGATGGAACTAAAGGGTCTAGGAGAGGGCACCACACACCTGCAATGAACTGATGGAACTAAAGGGTCTAGGAGAGGGTGCCACGCACCTGCAATGTACTGATGGAACTAAAGGGTCTAGGAGAGGGCACCACACACCTGCAATGAACTGATGGAACTAAAGGGTCTAGGAGAGGGTGCCACGCACCTGCAATGTACTGATGGAACTAAAGGGTCTAGGAGAGGGTACCACGCACCTGCAATGTACTCATGGAAACTAAAGGGTCTAGGAGAGGGTGCCACGCATCTGCAATGTACTGATGGAACTAAAGGGGCTAGGAGAGGGCACCACGCACCTGCAATGAACTGATGGAACTAAAGGGTCTAGGAGGGGTGGCCACGCACCTGCAATGTACAGATGGAACTAAAGGGTCTAGGAGAGGGTGCCACACACCTGCAATGTACAGAGGGAACTTAAGGGTCTTGGAGAGGGTGCCACACACCTGCAATTTACAGATGGAACTAAAGGGTCTAGGAGAGGGTGCCACGCACCTGCAATGTACAGATGGAACTAAAGGGTCTAGGAGTGGGTGTCACACACCTGCAATGTACTGATGGAACTAAAGTGTCTAGGACAGTGCGTCTCGCACCTGCAATGTACTGATGGAACTAAATAGTCTAGGACAGTGCGCCACGCACCTGCAATGTACAGATGGAACTAAAGAATCTAGGACAATGTGGAACGCACCTGCAATGTATAAATGGAACTAAATAGTCTAGGACAGTGCGCCACGCACCTGCAATATACAGATGGAACTAAAGGGTCTAGGACAGTGTAGAACGCACCTGCAATGAACAGATGGAACTAAAGGGTCTAGGACATGGTGCCACGCACCTGCGATGTACAGATGGAACTAAAGGGTCTAGGACAGTGCGCCACGCACCTGCAATGTACAGATGGAACTAAAGGGTCTAGGACAGTGCACCACACACCTGCAATGTACAGATAGAACTAAAGAATCTAGGACAATGTGGAACGCACCTGCAATGTATAAATGGAACTAAATTGTCTAGGACGGTGCGCCACGCACCTGCAATGTACAGATGGGACTAAAGGGTCTAGGACAGTGTGGAACGCACCTGCAATGTACAGATGGAACTAAAGGGTCTAGGACAGTGTGGAACGCACCTGCAATGTATAAATGGAACTAAATAGTCTAGGACAGTGCGCCACGCACCTGCAATATACAGATGGAACTAAAGGGTCTAGGACAGTGTGGAACGCACCTGCAATGTATAAATGGAACTAAATAGTCTAGGACAGTGCGCCACGCACCTGCAATATACAGATGGAACTAAAGGGTCTAGGACAGTGTGGAACGCACCTGCAATGTACAGATGGAACTAAAGGGTCTAGGACATGGTGCCACGCACCTGCGATGTACAGATGGAACTAAAGGGTCTAGGACAGTGCGCCACGCACCTGCAATGTACTGATGGAACTAAAGGGTCTAGGACATGGCACCACACACCTGCAATGTACAGATAGAACTAAAGAATCTAGGACAATGTGGAACGCACCTGCAATGTATAAATGGAACTAAATTGTCTAGGACAGTGCGCCACGCACCTGCAATGTACAGATGGGACTAGAGGGTCTAGGACAGTGTGGAACGCACCTGCAATGTACAGATGGAACTAAAGGGTCTAGGACAGTGTGGAACGCACCTGCAATGTATACATGGAACTAAATAGTCTAGGACAGTGCGCCACGCACCTGCAATATACAGATGGAACTAAAGGGTCTAGGACAGCGTGGAACGCACCTGCAATGTATAAATGGAACTAAATAGTCTAGGACAGTGCGCCACGCACCTGCAATATACAGATGGAACTAAAGGGTCTAGGACAGTGTGGAACGCACCTGCAATGTACAGATGGAACTAAAGGGTCTAGGACATGGTGCCACGCACCTGCGATGTACAGATGGAACTAAAGGGTCTAGGACAGTGCGCCACGCACCTGCAATGTACAGATGGAACTAAAGGGTCTAGGACATGGCACCACACACCTGCAATGTACAGATAGAACTAAAGAATCTAGGACAATGTGGAACGCACCTGCAATGTATAAATGGAACTAAATTGTCTAGGACAGTGCGCCACGCACCTGCAATGTACAGATGGGACTAGAGGGTCTAGGACAGTGTGGAACGCACCTGCAATGTACAGATGGAACTAAAGGGTCTAGGACATGGTGCCACGCACCTGCAATGTACAGATGGAACTAAAGGGTCTAGGACAGTGCGCCACGCACCTGCAATGTACAGATGGAACTAAAGGGTCTAGGACATGGTGCCACGCACCTGCGATGTACAGATGGAACTTAAGGGTCTAGGACAGTGCGCCACGCACCTGCAATGTACAGGTGGAACTAAAGGGTCTAGGACATGGCACCACACACCTGCAATGTACAGATAGAACTAAAGAATCTAGGACAATGTGGAACGCACCTGCAATGTATAAATGGAACTAAATTGTCTAGGACAGTGCGCCACGCACCTGCAATGTACAGATGGGACTAGAGGGTCTAGGACAGTGTGGAACGCACCTGCAATGTACAGATGGAACTAAAGGGTCTAGGACAGTGTGGAACGCACCTGCAATGTATAAATGGAACTAAATAGTCTAGGACAGTGCGCCACGCACCTGCAATATACAGATGGAACTAAAGGGTCTAGGACAGTGTGGAACGCACCTGCAATGTATAAATGGAACTAAATAGTCTAGGACAGTGCGCCACGCACCTGCAATATACAGATGGAACTAAAGGGTCTAGGACAGTGTGGAACGCACCTGCAATGTACAGATGGAACTAATGGGTCTAGGACATGGTGCCACGCACCTGCGATGTACAGATGGAACTAAAGGGTCTAGGACAGTGTGGAACGCACCTGCAATGTACAGATGGAACTAATGGGTCTAGGACATGGTGCCACGCACCTGCAATGTACAGATGGAACTAAAGGGTCTAGGACATGGCACCACACACCTGCAATGTACAGATAGAACTAAAGAATCTAGGACAATGTGGAACGCACCTGCAATGTATAAATGGAACTAAATTGTCTAGGACAGTGCGCCACGCACCTGCAATGTACAGATGGGACTAGAGGGTCTAGGACAGTGTGGAACGCACCTGCAATGTACAGATGGAACTAAAGGGTCTAGGACATGGTGCCACGCACCTGCAATGTACAGATGGAACTAAAGGGTCTAGGACAGTGCGCCACGCACCTGCAATGTACAGATGGAACTAAAGAATCTAGGACAATGTGGAACGCACCTGCAATGTATAAATGGAACTAAATAGTCTAGGACAGTGCGCCACGCACCTGCAATATACAGATGGAACTAAAGGGTCTAGGACAGTGTGGAACGCACCTGCAATGTATAAATGGAACTAAATTGTCTAGGACAGTGCGCCACGCACCTGCAATGTACAGATGGGACTAAAGGGTCTTGGACATGGCACCACACACCTGCAATGTACAGATGGGACTAAAGGGTCTAGGACATGGCACCACACACCTGCAATGTACAGATGGGACTAAAGGGTCTAGGACAGTGTGGAACGCACCTGCAATGTACAGATGGAACTAAAGGGTCTAGGACAGTGTGGAAAGCACCTGCAATGTACAGATGGAACTAAAGGGTCTAGGACATGGTGCCACGCACCTGCAATGTACAGATGGAATTAAAGGGTCTAGGACATGGCACCACACACCTGCAATGTACAGATGGAACTAAAGGGTCTAGGACATGGTGCCACGCACCTGCAATGTACAGATTGAACTAAAGGGTCTAGGACAGTGCGCCACGCACCTGCAATGTACAGATGGAACTAAAGGGTCTAGGACATGGTGCCACGCACCTGCAATGTACAGATGGAACTAAAGGGTCTAGGACATGGCACCACACACCTGCAATGTACAAATGGAAACTTAAGGGTCGAGTACATTGTGATATAATGTGTGCTGGTACACGCATATATGCAAAACATACTGACCATACACATTGCATTCCTGATTAGAATACATTTATTGTTGCTGTTGCTTGTCGTAAACTAAATGGAGCGGGAGTTGACGCTTGGTGACTTAAAAAAATTGCGTGCCAGTGTACCCGCTCTGTATAATTCATTATGCGAATCTACCATGCAATAGTTTCAACTTGTTTAATTCCCCCGTATGATCACAATAGGTCCCCAGTACATGGATCGGGTGTTCACGCTCGGTGACTTGCATGTCATCGCACCCGGAAGGGGTGGAAATCAATCACTGGTTTGCCTCAATTAATTACAGATTACCTTGGACAGCTGGAATATTTCAGACTGCGGCGCTCAACAACAAAATACAAACGAACCTAATCCTACCCCTTTTATTTTCAGTAAAACAATATAATTTCTATTTGAACGCTTGCAACTTCCAACTTATTTTCTAAAAGGGCTTTGTTGATCTGATCTCACCTTGTTATCGTCAGGACGACTGCAGCACTGGCGGCAACTGCACACAGGCCAGACATCACATTGGCACCTACGTAGTACCACAGGTAGGAGCACTCCCTGGGGCAGAGGCCGGCCACGCCTTCACCCCCGGGGATGCCCAAACATCCACTGTAAGCCTGATGACAGTCCACATTACCGAATTAAAATAACAACTGTTTCAAAACTATGGAATACTAGAAGGGACATTGTCGCTTTGTCGCATTGTGGCATTGTCGCCCTTCCAAAAACAAGCAGAAAGGGTAAAACATAACCAAATGGCGACAACGCGACACATTGTGACTTTGAAAAATGTCGTATTGTCGCGCTTTGGTTAATTTTGAAGCTTTCTGCTCGTCTTTTGAAGGACGACAATTCAACAACGCGACAACGCGATAATGTCCCTTCTAGTATTCCATACAAAACTACGGAATGATAAATGTCATACACTGTTACACAACTGAAATCAGACAGAACTCGCTGTTATGATGAAAGTAGCCATTCCTGATAAACCTTGTTAACGTTAATAATACACTATCATGACTAATAGGAAATGCCTATAACATTCCTACAATGAACACTTCCTCATGTAAGCCTAAAGGAAAATATTTTAAAAAATTGTCACAAGACATTTTAAAAGAATATAGGTTGGTAAGTCGAATTAATTTTATTTTTTTTAAATAGATATTTTGATAACCTTTCCACTGAAACCTAATTGAAGAAGTGTTACTAAATCAAAACAATTAACCGCTCGTAATCAAAACAGAAAATTGTTTTGGTTGGTCTGTGATGTGAAACGAGACCTTTTGTTACATTCCTAACCTGGTCACTGCACGTATTATATACTGCCTGGCAAAAGAAAGTATACACCTATGTTTGATGGTGGCTAAAAGTGAAATGGTTATTCGATTGATAGTGATGACCCGTATTTGATACGGGTATAATAGTTGTGTTTTGGACTGCAGTGTGTCAGCTAAAGTTTTCAGCCTAGAATCGTTTTGACAACGTTTGTTATTTGTGGATAAAATCCAATTTTCAAGTGTATACTTTCTTTTGCCCGGTAGTTTATATACTGGCGAGGAGAAATAGCGTACATGTCCACCTACCGTGTCTGTTTGGTTTGTGCAACCCGCATAACAGGGGGAAATGTAGCTTCGAACATCCTCACCACACAGGGGAAAGTATTCAGTGACGTCACATGCGCAGTCCCCTGAAGGACTTCCGACCCTGCATTGTCACAAATCAGCACTTAAACATTCTCAGAGGGCCTTGAGGGAATTTAATACACTGTTTCGCTCAATGACGGGATAACTATGGGCTGACTGGCTATTAATAATGAAGGTTTATTCAGTCAGTCAACTGTTATGTAGTTATCCATCCAATTAGAGAGTGATAGAGTACGTTCGTAGAGATTTACACCGTGTCTGGACAGTTGCACAGCTCTTATTTTTTAGCTGTCAGTAAACATCAGGTCGTACGCCAGACAGTAGTCCTGCACCATGACCATGGAATATATTTATTTTATGAAAAAATAATAATCTAGAAACGCACACAAAAGCAAGTCTAGCCAGCTCAAGTTAGTTTATTCAGCATAGGGACATTTTTTTATTCTTAGAGTCAAGAAGGATGTTGTGTAATATAAAATTTCAGAGACTAAATGTCAGTCTAGCCAGACAGTACAAAGGTACAGTTTCGCAACTACCATTGGCGGTTGTGTATCAAAAGAAATTTACCAGTAGGCATTTTCTTACCGAAGATTGTCGAGATTTGCCGGAAAAGGCCGACCTAAACATACCACGTGACATTTATTCTATTTGAAGTTCCCTGTGGGTCTGATAATGTCTATCGCACGCACATGTGAATCGTGCCAGGTTTTCTTGCGTCTGGACAGATCTCACAATAAAATAAAATTTACCAAATTCACAATTACATTTATGCTTGTATCCGACTGTATTTTAAGATCGTTACCTCTGCTCACCAAGCCCGATGACATCCGGGTTTTCACAACCAAGCTTAAGTTGAAGCGAGAATGTTATCGTTGCCGTTGCCATGGCGACAGTAGCAAATTTCAGACATCCCTTGTTGTTCAGTTTGAGAAGGGCCAGGATTACAGCGCCGCCTATAGTACCCACTAACAATACAACCAGAAGCTTGAGCGCTGAAATGTGTATGAAAAACATTCATTTTAGGTTTAACAGCGTCAACAGGAATGTCTTAATTTGTTTGTTTGTTATTGAACGACGCATTCAGCAATATTCCAGCTAAAGTAGTCGCGTCTGGAACAGACAGTCCAGTCATTGACACCATGAACATCGATCTACGCAACTGGGATACGATGACATGCATCAACTAAGTCAGCGAGTCTGACCACCCGATCCCGTTAGTCGCATTTGCGGGGAAGTTCTAAGTGAGTGTTGGGAGGGAGTAGTGTTTTGAGCATCTTTTAGTAGCTCTCCAGCAATACCACAGAGTAAGACACCACGAGTTCGCCAATCCTTAATAAAGTAATTCTAGGCTATGCGTCTTTCGATTTTGTTTATCAGGTAGGTTTCTATACAGAACGATTGTCTAATTTCAGAATAAATATCCAATGATGAACAGTGGAAGTATCCGAGAATACAGATATACGAGTATAGTTATAACAGATCTGGGCTGTCAGGGCGAATCTGGGATTGCAAACCACGTTCAAATTAAAGGATCCTGACACGACTAAAGGACGCAACTCTTCTCATCACTTTACGGCGCTTCAGGCGACTGGGCCTATAGCGACCGCGTCACCTTAAGTATACGGATCCCTGTTTGGTGATATGTGCTTCAACAGACCTTCAGAAGAAACGGATACAGTATGTGTCGTACTCACCTGTGATGAGATAGGCCGGGCGTGTCGGCAGACCAAACTGGGCCTCCATATACCGAGCCTCATGACCCGCTGATCCCCCTAGGAACATGGCCACACAGCTGATGCCTACCAGCAGGATGACAAACACACAGTTGGTCAACAGCAGATAGACACATCTAGGGAGATCTGGGAACAGAAGACGGGATATCAGCCTGCATACTCCCATGAACTTGAAACTTGGGTAGATTGTACAGGGGACAGAGGTAGAGGGATCGCAACAGGGACAGAGGTAGGCAGGTCAAGGGACAGAGGTAGGCAGATCGTACAGGGGACAGAGGTAGGGATATCGTACAAGGGACAGAGGTTGGCAGATCGTACAAGGGACAGAGGTGGGAAGATCGTACAAGGGACGGAGGTAGGCAGATCGTACAGGGGACAGAGGTAGGAATATCGTACAAGGGACAGAGATGGGAAGATGGTTCAAGGGACAGAGGTAGGGAGATCCTACAAGGGACAGAGATGGGGAAATCGTATAAGGGACAGAGGTAGGCAGATCTTACAAAGGGCAGAGGTAGGGAGATCGTACAGGGGACAGAGGTAGGGAGATCGTACATGGGACAGACGTAGGTAGATCCTACAAGGTACAGAGATGGGAAGATGGTTCAAGGGACAGAGGTAGGGAGATCGTACAAGGGACAAAGATAGGGAAATCGTACAAGGGACAGAAATGGGAAGATGGTTTAAGGGACAGAGGTAGGGAGATCGTTCTAGGGACAGAAATGGGAAGATCTGGGAACAGAAGACGGGATATCAGCCTGCATACTCCCATGAACTTAAAACGTGGGTAGATTGTACAGGGGACAGAGGTAGAGGGATCGCAACAGGGACAGAGGTAGGCAGATCAAGGGACAGAGGTAGGCAGATCGTACAAGGGTCAGAGGTGGGGAGATCGTACAAGGGACAGAGGTAGGGAGATCGTACAAGGGGCTGAGATAGGGAGATCGTACAAGGGACAGAGGTAGGGATATCGTACAAGGGACAGAGGTAGGCAGATCAAGGGACAGAGGTAGGCAGATCAAGGGACAAAGATAGGGCAATCGTACAAGAGACAGAGGAAGAGAGATCGTACAAGAGACATAGATAGGCAGATCATACAAGGGGCAGAGATAGGGAGATCGGACAAGGGACAGAGGTAGGCAGATCAAGGGACAGAGGTAGGCAGATCGTACAAGGGACAGAGGTAGGCAGATCAAGGGACAGAGGTAGGCAGATCGCACAAAGGACAGAGGTAGGCAGATCAAGGGACAGAGGTAGGGAGATCGGACAAGGGACAGAGGTAGGCAGATCGTACAAGGGACAGAGATAGGCATATCGTAGAGGGGCAGAGGTAGGGAGATCGTTCAAGGGAGAGAAATGGGAAGATGGTTTAAGGGACAGAGGTAGGGAGATCGTTCAAGGGACAGAGGTAGACAGATCGTACAAGGGACAGAGGTCGGCAGATCAAGGGACAGAGGTAGGCAGATCGTAGAGAGGACAGAGGTAGGGATATCGTACAAGGGACAGAAATGGGAAGATGGTTCAAGAGACAGAGGTTGGGAGATCGTACAAGGGACAAAGATAGGGAGGTCGTACAAGGGACAGAGGTACACAGATCGTAGAGGGGACAGAGGTAGGGATATCGTACAGGGGACAGAGATGTGAAGATGGTTCAAGGGACAGAGGTTGGGAGATCGTACAAGGGACAGAGGTTGGGAGATCGTACAAGGGACAAAGATAGGGAGGTCGTACAAGGGACAGAGGTAGGGAGATTGTACAAGGGACAGTGGTAGGTAGATCAAGGGACAGAGGTAGGGATATCGTACAAGAGACAGAGATGGGAAGATGGTTCAAGGGACAGAGTTAGGTAGATCGTACAAGGGACAAAGATAGGGAGATCGTTCAAGGGACAGAGGTAGGGAGATCGTACAGGGGACAGAGATGGGAAGATGGTTCAAGGGACAGAGGTAGGGATATCGTACAAGAGACAGAGATGGGAAGATGGTTCAAGGGACAGAGTTAGGTAGATCGTACAAGGGACAAAGATAGGGAGATCGTTCAAGGGACAGAGGAAGGGAGATCGTACATGGACAGAGGTAGGCAGATCGTACAAGGGACAGAGGTAGGCATATCGTAGAGGGGCAGAGGTAGAGAGATCGTTCAAGGGACAGAAATGGGAAGATGATTCAAAGGACAGAGGTAGGGAGATCGTAGAAGGGACAAAGATAGGGAGATCGTACAAGGGACTCTGGAATGCGATGACGTCATGATACATGATTTTTTTGGTTAGCAGAGAGTTGAATAAACAACAAATTTGAAGTTGTTCATTATACAATGATAACTTAACTACTAATATACCAATCTTATCTATGAAAACCTAAAAGGGACATTGTCGCGTTGTCGCCCTTACAAAAACAAGAAAAAAACGTGGTAAAAGTAATAAAAGCGCGGCAGTGCGACGAGACATGTTGACCATTTGTCGTATTGTTGTTATGTTGACACTTTTTGCTAGTTACTAGTATTCAATGGCGACAACGCGACAATGTCCCCTCTGGGATTCCATCTCCTATCTTCCCTCCCATGAATCTAAAGTCCCTCACCTATGAGCTTCTCTCTAAGGGTCACCCCTGCCCTACTGCCCCGCACTCGACAGGGTTGCCCCGGGAGCGGGTTCTTGCCCCAGGTGTAGATGCAGAGGGGAGCGGCAGATACCGCCGTCAGTGACCCGATCCACCACGCCCCTAACCAAGAGGGGTCAGCGAGGCACTTGGATGCTACTGCAAGTAAAACAAGGATATATTACATCGGCTTAATACTTCAATCACTCATTTGCTTCTGCTTGTTGAGTGTGAAACGTGACAGCACCCAACGTAGAAGGAAGATTGGTGAAGATTTGAATACACCTCCATGGAAGGTTACGCCAGGTGAATATTCTTAAAAGCCAATCAGCGTCGAGGCATTCTCGGTATGCATTCAGACAAGCATGCCTGATTTCTGTTTCTCGAACACGAATATTATCGGGGAGATCCGAATGTTGTTGTGGATATGTATACATCCTACCGTTTCTGAGCGCAATGGCATCGACGCTGGAGAAGGTGTACTATTGAAGTTTATTTGTATAGTGTGGTTTTCCTTTCCTAAGATGCACATTTTCAAATCGAGGGGGTAAGACATTAAGCTGAATTGTTCATAGAAATGACATGTGATTGGCTCTAGAACCAAGGCATCCTTCATTTTGATTTAACGCGACATCAGACCTTGAGTATAGGAGTAAAGCTTCTGATTTTAACGAGATGGGCCATCTACAACTGCCCCTAGTTATTCCCAAATGCTGTACGTGTAGTGTACCTGTATTGTCCAGTGACGTGTTGCTGTACACTGCAGCGCTCACGTAAGCCACAGGGCGCCAGAAGAAATTCACCAGAAGTAATATTCCTACAAAGGAACAATCAATGTTAATAAGAATATTTTCACACATACACAATCACAAATAGTTTTGGGAATACATGTGATACAGTGGACACTAGAAGGTAATGCTACTTTATAAGTCATCCAATTCACACAAGCCGAAAAATTGAATCAAGTTTCAATCAATGTTATTATCCAAAATCATGTGTAGTGACAGGTTTATAACATGCTTTATGGCGTGTCTTAGAAGGAATATATTTGCAATATCAACATGGGTCAACAGCGCTCGTCCAAAAACCAACATCATCTTCGTCATCTGTGGATTTTATAGACGGTTCCAAGCTTTTGAAGACATACAGAAGATCAGTAACGAGTTGTGTAGCCTACATACGACCGGCGAAACAATTATTGATAAAATGATGTTCTGATAGACCTTACCACTATATAGAGTAGCCTTGGTCCTGCTTGCTTCGTTATGTTCAATAAACGGGGAACCGAGAATAAACCTAACAGGCTGAGCTGCACCCTGCACCATCATCATCAGAGCGAAGAAGACAGCAACCCACACACTATTTCCGGTTCCGGTCAAGCGGCCATCTTGATAAAACGTTTCATCGTTTTTCTGTTCAGGCAAACACAACCTTGCTTTGTGCACAGTCGTGTCGTGGCCGACGTTGTCGCCAATAACGGGGAGGAACAAGTAAAACACGCCGAACATAGCCCCAGAACTACCGTAGATGACAATGCTTGTTCCTATGAAACGCGGAATGTTTGAAATTCCAGTGCGACCATAGATCCCAAAAAACAAAATGGCGACAAGGTAGCTAATGTCTTCAAAGACAATGAGTTGGGTATTGAAATGTTGCTCTAGGGTCAGGGCCTGGGAGATGATGTAGGATCGGAGTGTCTCACAGATTAGGCAGATGACGCCAAATGCAATGACAAACACAATCAGGGGAAGACGCCGTGGAGGATGTCGTGATGCTGTTGCAGTCCTCACTACAAGACAGACATGTCTTAATTATGCTTCGGTGCTTGAAAACAAGAACATTTGATAATGTCATATTGGTGTTCATGACTTAATATTTTCTTCTGTGCACATGGATGGCACCTTAGAAATGCGGACACTATAGAATCCTAGAATGGAAATTGCCACGCTTTGGTTAACATTGTCGATGTTTGGTTTAGTAAGGGCGACAACAGGACGATGTCCCTTCCACGATTCCATGGTATACCGAGTTTCTGACAAGTTATTTTGATCTGTTCGCGTAAAGTTACACTTTGAGAAAACATCGAACTATATGGTGACTCACTGACTACTGCTACTGACATTTTGATTTTACATTGCGACAAATATGCGAGATGATTCTGAATTGTACGGGCTTCACATAAGAGTAATAAATAAGTACAGTCTACAATTGAGAGATTTAAAGCCACAGTGGATGCATGACCATACTGCATCCTTTGTGTAGCACAACTCATGACTTGCCCATTCATTGTTTCAGACGTTTTATGTACAGTATAGGGCTCGTTCCATAAATTTACCTTAACACTACGACAGTCGTAAGTCCATGTTAAAGTATGGGAGTTACGGTCGTCTTGTGGAACGGAACAAGCAGCCACCATCCTCCAGTTCAGTTGACATGCTTAATAATCGCCTCGGGGATTCACACAAACCTACATAGTTAAGTTTATCATGGAGGACGGTTTTACGCCGCTTTTAGCAATTTCCAGCAACATCACGACTGGGAGCACCGGAAAATGGGCTTCATACATTGTACCCATGTGGGGAATCGAACCCGGGTCATCAGCGCGACGAGCCACCGCTTTATCCACTAGGGGACCCAACCGCTCCTTAGTTTATCGGATAATTGACGACGTCGTCTATGCGATAAACCAATATGATAAACTTGATATTACGATCAGATAAATCTGCAAATTGTCCCTAGCAGGAACTCCTTTCAGTAACATCCGTGCAACTAGTGTCTGTGGTTACTTATAAATTGAGATAGGTGTTGCTGGTGCTTCTGTACGTACACATTTGGCACTATCATATGAATAGGCATTTGTCACCACTCGCCCCTTTCCGTAACCTGCAAGAAGACTATTCGGCTTGTCCCGACACAAGTTGGTCACGAATGATGAATAGGCGGTTCACCATAGTATGTATTCATACGCGGTTACTAAAGTTACTTCAGTTAGACACTTGACGGTAATTTTAAGACTGACATTATATGATAAAGCGGTTATTCCCCTCATATGTCACAAAAGGCTCGCGTTAGGTTTTATAACGAAGGCGAGTGGTAGAAAACCTAACGGGGCCCATAAAACCCCATGTAACCCGAGTGATACTGCTTCAACGACGTATCTTACCGACATGTTTTAATATTACATTTTATAAGAATTAAAACAAATTCCAAATAGATAGAAAACCGCAGTTTGATTGAGCTGAGGTTAACTTGTACTCTGTCACGTGACATTCATATGACTCGGAAAAAGCGTGAGGCTTCGAAGCGGGGTATAAGAGATTTATTCTCACGCTGAGAAATGTATTTGCCTTCAAGGCGGGATACGTCTCGTGGACCAGTCAGATCTCATCATTCTGACATGGAGGTATGATAAATAGTATAGTATTCCTGATGTATGACATTTACGATCGGAAGCACACACTAATAATCTCTATAACTCACTTTCTATTTTTATTGAATTAATAACGTATTTATTCCGGTAATTTCGGATATGTTTGAAAGAAGACATATCTGAATTACTGTACCTTGAAACTGTAGATTTGTCTGTTCCTGGACCGGAATAAAACCGGGAAACAACGCACCCGAAAACATATCAAAATCCATTTTGTCCCACAGCCTTTCCGGGTATCCCTGGTGAAAGAGATAGGAGTAAGTTAATCATCTTTACACATGCAAACACATCTTTGTTTATAAACGGTCATAATAATTTGGCTTAGTGTACAAAATACGACAGTTATAAAATAATGGCTATTCTTTAGAAACACACCACAATCCTTGAAATCCTTACTTACGTCTTCACAGAAATGCGCTGGTGAACTTTCCAAATATGCTAACTGTTCACTGCAATAACTCTGTACTGCCGTAGCTGTTTATTGTCGTAGATGTTCGCTGTTATAACTGTTCACTGTTATATATCCATCCACTGTTATGACAGTTCACTGTTTTATATCTCTACACTAATATAACAGTTCACTGTTTTATATATCTTTATTGTCATAACTGTTCACTATTATATATCTCTTCACTGTTATAACAGTTCACTGTTATATATTTCTTTATTGTCAGAACTGTTCACTATTATATATATCTTCACTGATATAAATGTTCACTGTTATATATCTTTCACTGATATAACTGTTCACTATTTTATATCTCTTCACTGTTATAACAGTTCACTGTTTTATATATCTTTATTGTCAGAACTGTTCACTATTATATATCTCTTCACTGTTATAACTGTTCATTGTTTGACATCTCTTCACTGATATAACTGTTCACTGTTATATATCTTTCACTGAAATAACTGTTCACAGTTTTATATCTCTTCACTGAAATAACTGTTCACTGTTATATATCTTTCACTGATATAACTGTTCACTATTTTATATCTCTTCACTGTTATAACAGTTCACTGTTTTATATATCTTTATTGTCAGAACTGTTCACTATTATATATCTCTTCACTGTTATAACTGTTCATTGTTTGACATCTCTTCACTGATATAACTGTTCACTGTTATATATCTTTCACTGAAATAACTGTTCACAGTTTTATATCTCTTCACTGAAATAACTGTTCACTGTTATATATCTTTCACTGATATAACTGTTTTCTGTTAAATATCTCTTCACTGTTATAACAGTTCACTGTTTTATTTATCTTTATTGTCAGACCTGTTCACTGTTATATATCTCTTCACTGTTATAACAGTTCACTGTTTTATAGTTCTTTATTGTCAGAACTGTTCACTGTTATATATCTCTTTACTGTTATAACAGTTCACTGTTTTATATTTCTTTATTGTCAGAACTGTTCACTGCTATATATCTCTTCACTGTTATAACAGTTCACTGTTTTATAGTTCTTTATTGTCAGAACTGTTCACTGTTACATATATCTTCGGACGCGACGTTAAACCCAATTTCACCTCACCTCACCTCACATATATCTTCACTGTTATAACAGTTCACTGTTTTATATTTCTTTATTGTCAGAACTGTTCACTGCTTATATCTCTTCACTGTTATAACAGTTCACTGTTTTATATTTCTTTTTTGTCAGAACTGTTCACTGCTATATATCTCTTCACTGTTATAACAGTTCTCTGTTTTATATTTTAGAGCGTCCGCCCGGAGAGCGGAAGGTCCAGGGTTCGATCCCGGGCCGCGTCATACAAAAAGACGTTAAAAGATTGTACTTGTTGTTACCCTGTCTGGCGCTCGGCATTAAGGGGCTAAAACAAGGACTGGTCGGCTCGGAGTCAGTATACTGTGTCTGAGTGGGGTATTCATGTTAAACTGCGGCATGGTATCTCAGTGAGCTAGCACTATAAATCGGCATCAGTCCGGACTAGTACAAGCAGCCACACACACACACATACACGTGCATGCACGTCGCTATATAAGTGCAATAATCTTGGACGCGACGTTAAACCCAATTTCACCTCACCTGTTTTATATTTCTTTATTGTCAGAACTGTTCACTGTTACAGTGGTTCACGTCTTTATAACTTTTCACTGTTGTGGCACTTCACTGTTGTGGCACTTCACCGTACTGGTTTATTGCAGTTACTGTAACTGTTCATTGATATAACTGTTTACTACAATAGCTGTTCACTGTGACAACTATTTCCTGTTACATCTGTTCACAGTGATGGATGTTCACGGTTATATATTTTCATTGTACACCTGTTCTATGTTAAATGTGTCACTGTTAAAACTGGGCACTGTGAATGCTCCTGTTCAGTGTAACAGCTGTTCACTGTTGGCTGTTGTCCCGGTCATAAATGTAACGCCAACATCGTATGACAGTTTCGCGAATCACCGCCCGTGTGGTTATCAGTTACTTGAACAGCACGTCACCTCACAACACAAAACAAAGGGGGGCACTGGTGGCCCAGTCGTCTAAGGCGCCGCGATTCGCTGTGCAGAGTTGCGTCCCCTGGACACGCCAGAAACCTATGCTTGTGGGTTCGAATCCCGGTTCGCCCCGATTATGTTTCTAGGTTTGTCAGCACCATACCCGTGCCCTTGGGTTTCACCAAAGTGGTTAACGTCTGAGACCTGCATCACGTCGGGCTTTCCTCCCACATTAAGCTGACACGCCGTGATATAACTGGAATAATGTTAAAAGCGGCGTTAAACCCAACTCACTCACTCACTCACTCACTCACAACTCAAAGATGACAGGCACTGTACGAGTATTGTCACAACCACGTCAATCACGCGAAATGATGTCAGAAAGCTTTTCGCAGCATGCTAATCCTTGCAACAAAATTCAAAGTTGGATGATCCAACCACAATGCACACGCTTTGACATCTGTTGTTGAGTGTGATGTCCAGAATATTACCGGTACCGATGAAAACACTTGTCAGGAAATCGTCGCAGTTCAAAGACCGTGCTTCCCTGTAAAACAATACAGTATACCACATGCCAATCTGTGAAAAACATAGTCAGGTTTACCTTCAGAAATGAATAGGCTTCTGTGGGGAGCTTGTCACCATTGATCACCAGCAGTAACAGCTAATCCTCCAGTGAGAGAAACCTCTGGTTTAACTCAACAGCTGTTAATGCAGTCTACATCATGCACTAATATTCTGGCGTATATGGATCTGGGTTATTAATTAATGCACATCGCCATAATTCATATTCATGTCATGCAAAATGATGCTTTATTTGTTGTTTGATATATAGCGAGGGAAATATGTCGCATTGGTTGGTGAATATTGGGGATATATCATTACATCCCATATATCTAGTTTAAATATTTTTGTGGAATATTGTTTAAAATAATATTGTCCCAGATAATGCACGAAAACATATTATGACTCAGACTGTTGAAAAAGTAATTTGTCTTTCAAAGAAATACATTGTTGTAGGATTTTTTAAGTGTAATAGATAGGGTCAGAGCTTTAATTAAAACACATCTGGTATTGCAGCTTCATACAACCGCACCTGCCATGCACACGTACGTAACTAAATTCAATTTCATCGTTTAATAATGAAACAATTTCATGCTTTTAACTTTTTCATAATTTCTCCTATTTGATCTGTTATACACGAAGTCGAACTGGAATATAAGTAAGTCCTTGACAACACCATTAAGTGCGTTTAGCGTCATGCAACTAATATTGTGAGGACATATTGGAGTGGTGTTATTTGTACTCACGTTTCTCTCACAGGGCGTGTCTGCCTGTGTGCGAGTCGGGGGATATAGTGCTACTATTTGACCTTAGTCTGCGTTGCCCACGTGACCCCATACTTCAAGCTAGACATAGGTATGTCACCGTAATTGATGTATTTACATGTCGTGAAGTGTATCCAATGTAACAACAGCGCGACCAATGCAAATAGTGCAACTAGTGCAACCCAGTCAGGGCAGTCAGGGTAAACATTGCAACCAGTGTGAACAGTGCAACCAGTGTGAACAGTGCAACTAGTATAATAGTGGGGTGGGGGATAAATTGGCCCAGAAATTGCTTGAAGAAAACATTATGCTTCAGACTCTTGAAATTGCAGAAATTGTCAGCCCAAAAACATACATTGTCGTAATGCGTTTTTACTAAACAATATTTAAGTTAAATAGTTTTAATTAACTACAATAGATGGGTTTGCAGCTGCAGCTGTAAAATATCTAATCTCTAAACAAAAACGTAGAGAAGACGCCTCGACTTTATCGCCTATACTTTTTCTCACGTGACTACGGGTTATGGCTCCGACGCGTACGATGCCCGTTGGGTGTGTCTAGGCTCAAACCTACATCAAACCTTTTATACTACTCACAACTTGCTAGGGAAAATTACCTGAAAAGGGAATACGTCAAACTGTGTGCATCTGTTGAAATAGCCAAAGACAGTATTGCGTGAAGATATGTCTAATTGACAAACGTCCGTTGTCAAGTGCCACACAATGCCAATAAACAACATGTGACCAATAATCAGTCAAATCACTTGTAAAAATGAGAGCATCTGACCAAAACTGAAACGTCAAAGAATCAAGAAAACATTTACGGGGTCCAAAACAAACAACTCTCAGTAGCGCGTATGTGATCCACGTAATACAAAAACACAGTCTTGCACCGTCGTCTAATGCTCCCAATAAGAGTCTGGATCGTTAAGTTGTCATGGGACGATTGGTCCACTCTTCAGTCAGAGCATTGCCGAGTTTATGTAGAGTTGCCGGAAGGACAGGGTGTCGTGAGAAGGCGGTCTGCAGCTCGTTCCACGTGTGTTCGATAGGGTTGAGGTCGGGTGACTTGGGTGGTCATTCCATGCGGACAATGGTCTCCTGCTCTAATTAGGCATCAACGATCCTGGCACGATAAGGTCGTGAGGATGAAGTCCTGTCCAATTGGACCAGCATTCGGTCTCACGTACACATATAGAATGTCACACCTGTCATCGTGCCCCGCTGTAGGACAATAAGTCATGGAGACCGGTTCTTCCGGCTCTACTGATTCCACCCCAATTGACGATTGAGCCGTCTCCATAGCGGTTATGTTCGCCTACGTTGGAATCCTGAAACCTGATTCGTGAAGTCTAGACAGTATCTCGAGTCAGCAGTGAAAAGTACCAGAGCCCAGTCTGTCCAATTGACGTTATCTTAAGGCCAATCCAAACGTGCCTGCCTCTGATGTCGGGTCAGGGGGATGCAAAGCGGCCTGATGGTGACGATTACGCACTGTCTGAGTAGAAACGTTAACGTCACTGGCGTTCATCAGATCATTTCTGAGTGTGGTAGCAGTAACGAAGTGATGACGTCTTGCTGCAATCACCTGTCTTCCTGCTTGGTGGTGGTGGAACGCTGTCGACCCACTGCATGTCGCTGGGAAGCTGATCTAAACGTCTGGTATCGATTCCATGCCCTGTTGATCACACTTTGGCTGACACCAAAGGCGTTTGCAACGTGAAGTTGCGTTGACCAAGTTTTTCAAGCATGCCTAGTCGTGTCTTTGGCGCTGAGGGTGCATTCGTGCATGCAAGTGTTGCAATCCTTCGCAGTACATGTTGTTGTGCTCTCTGATAATGATGTGCAACAATTCTGTCACGGGTTTTCAAGCACCTCATGCACATCGTGGCCATGACTGAATGTCCGGCCATCATCAAATTGAGGTCTTATCGGGGTTACCCAATCAATGTGTATCGGAATATTTCAATTATTATTTTTGGGGTGATTTTATAACATCACAAAGAATGCTGTGAGTATTATATTATTTTACTATCCTTCATGTCATGTGAGCAGTAATATGTATATGTTCATACACTCTAACATCCATACGGCGGTATGGGATCTTTAGTCACAGACGCAGCTATTCTCTGTCCAGAGTTGCGTCCCTTAGTCATGCCATGGTCCAATTATCACAACTGACAGACAGACAGTGTATTCAGTAATTTAGGCATCAAGGCCCATAGTACAATACACTTTGTACATTAACGTTTGAAGAAGTACAGCAACATGATCTTCATAGTTTAGCAGATTTAACATTAACTGACGGTGCTCGTAGGTTCCGCCACATTATTCATCGTGACATGCAACTGGCTCCCTTCAAACACTCAGCAGCCATGTCGTCATGTGGCTTGAATAACGACTAGCAACTATAACTACCTCTTTCTCATATTTATAGCCCGGCATGTGTCATGACAAAGCTCTCTACAGTTTGACATTAAACTTGACATTTTACTCACATTTTGAATAGTTATGCCCATCCAAGCGGCACCTGATCACGAATTTATTCATCATTGTCTTCATTTCCCGACACACGGTAAGGCATACTTGTTTCAACACTATGTCTTCGAGTGTATAATTAAAACACACATGCACTCATGCATACTGTTGTCATCGATATAATAGGGCTGTGCAGTCAGAGTGCGTGAAGCATGACAGTCACTGTGCAGCTGGTGGCATTGTAAAGCAGATATGTAGTCATGATTATTATACTGGTCATGTCGACGTATTGATTAAGCCAAACGAAATATTATTGTAAGCTCATTTAAATCATAAACAGTTTTATCCTCACGTTTACAAAACAGTACTATATACCAGGGCATTATCAAGTACAATATTATTGAAACTGGCTTTTATTTCAGTTACACATTCACCTTAAAAAATTGCTTTACTCAAAGTCCTCGAGATCATCGGCATGGTGTCGAGTTAACCGTTGTCCGATACAGGCTGAGCGTAAGTATTCTACGCGTCTATATTTATAGCCTTTCTATGTCGGAACTCAAGACAAGGCAGCAGGTATCCAGTGGAGTTTGCAATTTCAGCTTACTCAGATTCGATGCATTCTGGGGAATATTAATAATAAATACTTATTTAAATTGTGCCGTACTCTTGTACTGAAGCTTGGTCATGGCCCTAAAGCATGCTATATATCATATGGAACAAGTATCCCTGACAATGTGTGCGTTCAAATGATATTTTCAACTCCCCGGGGAGTATATAACCCAAGGTGTCTGTTTGCATTTACCATATCATCCAATCGGGTATCCATTTGCTGATGGGTGAACAAATGCACATGTGGAACAAAGTGACTGGCCGTAGGCGATACCACGTGTTTGATAACCTACTATCCAGTGTTGTGGGTGTTGTGGGGTGTGGAACACCAAGAAACCCCAAGGACAGCGCGATCTTCCACCCAGCTACTATCAGCCGCTAGCGTTGCTTGAGGACCACGTGAGCCACGGTAATTGCCTAATGGATACACCGATGCAATAGTGCTTTCAGATTATATATGTGTCGTCACTTATACTAATTAAAACAAGTTAAAGAACACCCGCAATTGGAAGGCTGTGTTGCCATACCCATCCTCCATGACAAGTTTACGATAGTCATACGAACAAACAACACGTTCTTTAACTTCTCGTGAGTAGTATCCATGTTTCACTTACATTTACCGTTCTGGTGTTTGCGGTCTGGTCCATATGTACATGCCTCAATGTGTAGCACAGACATGGCAAGATGACAGCTGAGCTATTCCTTTGAGGCAGCATCTCCTACATGTCATAGTAGAGTTATTTATGGTTCGTCGATCTCATTTTGTCAGAACTACTTACCTCCACAAAGAAACAGATCCACGCAGTCGAGGAACGATGACACGCAATCGAATTGGTCAGGACAAGATACATGAAATTACCGGCACCTGCGAAGATCCGGGGTTGAACAGGTCTTCAGCAACCCATGCTTGTCGTAAGTGGCGACTTTGCTTGTCGAAAGAGGCGACTAACGGGATCGGGTGTTCAGGTTCGCTTACTTGGTTGATGCATGTCATCGCATCCCAAGTGCGTGGAACGATGCTCTCATGGTCCAGACCTGATTATTTACAGCTGCAGACCGACATCAAATGGCTGGAATGATGCTGAGTGCGGCGTTAAACAACAAACAAACAATAAGTTGCCAGCACAGATTGCCAGGAACCTATTATAACCAGGAATGCACGCATTGCCAGTGATGACCAGCTGTGACTTCCCTTACAGAAGGTGAGCGAGTGAATGAGTTGGGTTTAACGCCACTTTTAACAGTATTCAAGTTATATCGCGGCGTGTCAGCTTAATGTGGGAAGGAAACCCGAA